TTTTTTTTTTTTTAAAAAATCTTTTTAATACATTTATTGCATTTGGGTGCAATACACAGTTTAAATAAAATTGCCGTTATGTCCATTTTCCCTAAACTTTTTGCTCTTTCACCTGCTTGTGTTTGTTTAGGGAATCACCTCCCAGTTTTTTTCCTTTCAGTGTAAGTACTGCACATTGACTCTTATTCAAAAAGGGAATCTGGAGCCAGAGTGGCAAAGTGGTTTGAATATTGGATTGTGACTCTGGAGATCAGGGTTCGATTCCCTGCTCAACCATGAAACGCATTGGGTGACCTTGGGCAAGTCACATGCTCTCAGCCTGAGAGGAAGGCAATGGCAAACCTCCTCTGAACCAATCTTGCCAAAAGAAACAAACAAATAAACCCTATGGTCACCTTAGCATCATTATAAATAAGAAACAACTTGAAGGCACATAACAACAAGAAGAAAAGAACTATCCCATGCAAACTACAGGAAAAGAGATTCTAGCTCAACATTAGGAGCAATTTCCTGACAGTGAGAGCTGTGACAGTGGAACACATTCCCTTGGAGTGTGGTGGAGTCTTCTTCTTTGGAAATCTTTAAACAGAGGCTGGATGGCTATCTGTCAGGAATGCTTTGATTTTGAGTTCCTGCGTAGCAAGGGATTGGACTGGATGGTCCTTGTGGTTTCTTCCAGCTCTAGGATTCTATGATTCTATGATATCCTTATTAAAGGCAAGAGTGTAATCTTTTCCTGGAAGTACTGACGCTACCATACTATCTCAACCATCCAGTCTTTAGGGTGAACACAAACAGTTGTGCCTGCTGTAATTTGGTTAAGTTCTCTGGCATTGTTTTCCTTTGCTTCATCCTTTACATCCTTTGTTCCATGTCCTTAAGTATAACCCTTGACTTATCCACAGGTGGTATCAAAATCCATAATTTTGGCCCCAAAACCTGCCCTTGATTTATACATGACGTTGGCTTATAGTTCGGTATATATGGTAGACATTGAGGTGTATGGGAGACATGCATGATTATGTGGTGTGTGTGTGTGAATCCCTAGGGCCTAGACCTCTGGAAGACCTGGGCCTCTGGGGGCCTTGACAGTGAAAAAACAACCAATACATTACAAAATAAATGTTTGCATTTAAACACATCAGGGGCTGACTTGGGCCTGAAACAGATGAGCCCAAAGGAGTGGTGTGTGGCTGCACTGGTGCTGATTGTGTCAGGGCTGCAACAACCATAAGTGTCCAGCCCCAATCCACCACCGCAGTCCTGAACTGAGCCACCAGAAGAAGTGGATCCTATCCACTCCTTCTTGGCCCAGTTCTTCCTGGATGGTGTGGTGATGGCACGGCTTTTGGCTTATGATGCCTGTTCTTAAATCTGTACTCCAATGTAATACTTTCTTTCATGCCCTGTTGAAAATGTCATATAGAGCTTCAGGAAACCCCACTGAACAGGGTGAACAGTGGTCAAAATAAAAGAGATCCCTCAAAATCAGGTGATGGTGTTATGTAATGTGTCATACATACATGACTCCAGCAGGATCCCAGCCACAAACTATTCCACTTAGATAGATCTTTTAAAAATCATTTTCAGTTGTCTCACTCTAACTTAAATCTATTCACTTAAAAACTTCTTTAAAAAAGTACATTGGGTACTTGATATTCACTGGGGTTTGGTTCCAGGACCACCCCCCCCCCGCACCCCGTGGACACCAAAATCTGAGGATGCTTAAGTTGGATTAAATACAATAGCATAGTAAAGTGGTATGGCTTATATAAAATGGCAAAATCAAGGTTTGCTTTTTGGAATTTATATATTTTAAAAATATTTTCAAGCTGTAGATGTTTGAATCCGTGGATAAAGAATCCATGGATACAGAGGATCAACTGTAGTAACAATTGTTTGTAGGAATATTGAAGAGGGAATCCTAATCATACATCCTGCTCTGGGGCCCAAGTCAGCATTCAACAGATCTTGACATGATGAGGGATGGAAAGAAAGGTTGAAAATATTCAAAAACTGGTCAAAAGACAGGTTTCTTTAGTGTAGGGAAACCTGGATGAGGAGAATCATGGACTGATGAGAATATTCACAGTGTGAGACTTTTTCTGTAAAAAAAATTTTGCACGGAAAACAGCATTGTCTGAAAATAGAAACATTTTTTTCTGCACAGAAAATGACATTTTCTCTGCAAAAAAGTGCAAATTTTGCACTGTATTAGTGTAGTGTAGTGGGTGTGCATGTGGATCTATGTTAAAGTGAGACATTTACCATTCCACTGGACTTACTGAAGTCAAATGATTACATCAGTGATGAGATTCACTATGCTTCTCTGGAGGATCGCAGCACTGCTGTAATAATTTCACATCTGGCTACTTTTCAGATCCTGTCTGCTCCCCATGAGACACAAAAGGACTATGGGGCGAGGGCTTCAGATGCTGTACAGTAGTCGGGAGGTGCTTTGAGTGATGTAGACTACTAACCTTCACGGTGCCCCCCAAAAGGACATAACAGAAGTGTAAGGTAAACTTACATGTGCATATACTAAAATAGGACTTTAGCCATCAAGACCCCAAAACTGCTTTTTTTGGAAGACTATCACAGTGGAAAGAAAATTGCTGAAATTACTCAGTGCTTCCTTTGAGAATGAAATTAGTGAAGAATTGTATCTACAGAAATGACATGGGGCTGTGTGTCTTCACAGTGGCAGCTTTTTGTTCTCCATAATGCCTATTTCCCTTTTGCCACAAATGAAAATGCAGTCAGAATTAGGAATGTCACTCTTCATTCATTTCATATATACATGCAAGGACAAATAAAAGTTTGTAGTTTTTTCACTACTGGAGAGGGAAATAAATATCATTGAGCAGAAGTGATGTGTTTTGTGATATTTCATATATGGCAGGCTGTACTGGGGAATTATTCTGTGCAGAAATATATGTGGATTTTCTGCACACACCCCATGCCATTTTGTGCAGAAAACCTGTAGAGTTTTTGTTTTGTTTTAAGCGGTGTCAAACTGGCATTATTTCTGCAGTGCAGATGCAGTCTCAAAGCATATACAGATTCAGAGTAGATGCAGGCTCAATCTTTTTGCATGGAAGTTCCTTTTACAGTCATTCTTGAACAAAAGGTGGTTGCTGTTCTGTATCTCCAACTTGGACTGATTTATGGTGGTCCTACTGTAGAGCTTTCTTGGCAGGATTTGTTCAGAGGGGTTTTTCCATT